AGAGACCCAAAAATGCACCAGCAACCACACGATCGCTACCGAGTGGGTGTGCACAAACTGTGTGTGCTTGGACCTGATGTGCAAGAGCAGATGAGAGCCAGGCAGCTGACCAGGGATTCCCCTTGGCTCAGGAGTGGTTTTGCATCCCACAGCCTTGCCCTGTATTGAGTAAGTCAGTTGGAAGCAGTGCTTGGAATATCTCACCTCAGCAGCACATGGGACTCAGTCTCCTCCTGTATTGGACTGGAGTGCAACTGCCTGGAATGAGGCAGGTGACAGCAGTGTCTTTTAAATAGAAATATCTGGTTTTCTGTATTTCTATTAATAAAATCACTGTCTGGTGACTGAGCTCTACGTTCCAAGTAGATGAAGTGGCGTTTATGAAAGCACTGGAAGCCAGGCAGGAACACTGGGTGAGAATTCCAGAGTTTGGCCATCCAGCCTGCTTGCAAAACTTGCTTAATGTGCATCATGCAAATAGTGACTCTTGCAGAGTGGGTAATTATACACATAGCTCATAATTACCCCTCAGCACAGTTCTGCTGCCTGACTTGCACAGGGAGTGCCAGCATTTCCAGTGTGGAGCTGCCTTGTGGTATTCAAATGCCATGAAAAGCTGATCTTCAGCAAAGTATGTGTTTCGGACAAGGGCTGGTCAGAGGCAGCAGCCACATCTGGGTTAAATAGCAGAGTTCCTGAATGGCTCCAGTACAAACCAGCCTGGGAATGTGCAGGACCTGGTAACTCAGAGCATGCTCCTGTGAGGCCAGGACACAGACTGGTCTGTAAGTGGGGAATGGCTCGAGTGCTGCTGTTATGGGTTGCTGCTGAGCATGTATTTGATGGGCTGAGGGGTTTGTGGTCTCGCTGCCTCCCTTCCCAGGGGCAGCACAGGGAGGGATTTGCACTGGGTTTGTTCATGCCTGGAGCCACACACAGAGAATGGGCAGCAGAGGGGGTGAGCAGGGAAATCTGCTGCCCCACAGCGCATCCCTCTGGGTAGTGCCAGGCTAGAGAGGGGCCATGAGGTGTGCGTAGAGGTGTAAAGCATAACCAGACTCATCTTAAAGGGAGGCTTCTTTTGCTGTCCCAAGCCTCAGGGTCTCATTGATGTGCCAGTGTGACCCCCATGGGGTGATGGTGATTGCTTGGCTCTCATTTCCTTTGTGCCCCCCCTGCAGGTGCAGACCCGCAGCTCGGATGAGCCCATGACCACCTTCGTCGTGTGCAACGAGTGTGGGAATCGCTGGAAGGTACCACACCAAGGCTGCTGCTGGCACTGGGGGGGGTGGGTGGCTGCACCACCACCTGCAGGTACTTGGCTGCCCTCCGAGGTGTTTGCCAAGCACTGACTGCCTCTAGCAGGTGATGGAGGCTCCTGGGTTCACCCCATCTCCACAGAGCTGGGTCAAGTCTCACATTCCCTGTCTCCCTCCTCATATCCCTTCTTCCATGAGCAGCCTCACGGTGCTTCCCTGAGTGATGGTGGTGATGACATTGAGGGTTCAAGTGCCAAAGAGCAATGGCTGGGAGAATCAGTTTGCTCCCTGCTCCAGGGGCTGAGCCCTGCCTCTGCAGAATCCCAGCTTCAGAAACAAGACATCCCCTGCATCCCAGTCTTGTGTGTATGCCCCAGAGCTCCCTTTGGCAGTGAGGCTTTCTAACGAAGGTTTCAACTCCCCTCTCTTGCAGTTCTGCTGATAACGTGCCATGGCCTGAGAGCAGCAGCCTAAAGCAGCTCAGAGCGTGACCTCCATACGCCAGCTCCAGTTGTGTTCTGTGTCCCAAGTGAGTTTGCATTGTCACACGCTGAGAGAGCAGCAATGGGGAGGCTTCTTCACATGGGCCTCAGTGGGGAGAGCCACAGCCACAGGCTGATGGGGGGAGCTCAGTGCACACACGTAGTTGTTGTTTTCTCATCTAAGCAAATCGGGTCACTTTTCCTTCAAAGCTAATATTAAACGTTTTTGTCAGTTTCTGACTTTTATTTGAGCTGTGCCCATGCAGCACTTTGATTTCTGGGGTGTGGAACTGAATGGGAGCTTCACAGAGGGTCGGTGTCCACAGGGTGGGAACTGAACAGTGCCCTGGAGTGCAGCACTCAGTTGGTTTTGCAGTGATGTATATACCTTGTCATAGAACCACCGACTCGTTTGGGATGGAAATGACCTTAAGCTCATCCAGCTCCAACCCCTGCCAAGGCAGGGACCCCTTCCACTGGAGCAGCTTGCTCCAAGCCCCTGTGTCCAACCTGGCCTTGAGCACTGCCAGGGATGGGGCAGCCACAGCTTCTCTGGGCACCCTGTGCCAGCGCCTCAGCACCCTCACAGGGAAGAGCTCCCTAAGAGCTCAGCTCAGTCTCCCCTCTGACAGGCCTTGAAATGCCAACAGCAAAGCCTGCTGCAAAGGGAACGTGCTGCTCAGGTTGTAGCAAACGAAGTAGGGTGACACCAGCCACATAAAGGAGAGGGACGGGACAGCAAGGAGACAGTGCTAAGCCCATGTGGGCATTCCCTAGTACTCCATCCCTCTGTGGAAGGAGACCCTTGTGGCCAGGATCTGGAAGCAGGGGGGGTCAGCAGCCTGTTGTTATTCCTGCTGCCCTGAGGACTGCTTCCCATTGTGCAGGGATCCTGGGTGCAGTTAAACTTGCTACAGGGAGAAGCCATCAGTGAAGGAGGTGGAGGGAATCCACACAGTGGGAATGTAAAAGGGAGTCCCAGCCACTTTCCTGCTTGCTCAAGCTATTCTGCCTTGGCAGCTGAAAGGCAGCCTTGGTTTTCAGAGTGATTTGCTGGAAAGGCTCTGAAGGAGAGGAAGTGCTGCAAATACAGGAGGAATTCCAGAGGCTTGGACCTGGAGGGGGTATGGATTACGTGTTAACACTTGGCTCTAGAAACAGATGAGGCCTGAAGTGAGCTCAGAGCTGCTTGTTTGGAAGGGGTGAGATAAAGGAGCCTGGGATCAGAGCAAGGCGCAGGTGCCACCTCTGCAGGTAGGATGCTGGGAAGGAGCCCTGCAGGATCAGGCTTGTTCTGTGAGCTACTGAAATCCCTCTTTTCCCATCCCTTAGCTGGGGTGATGCAGCTCCAGGGGACCCCAACAGAGCCTCTGGGTTAGGGGCTGCTCAGGGAGCAGGCCTGTGCCCTGTAGCTCAAGCAGCACTGGCGCATTTGCAGTCGCATCTTGGGGCATTGCTCCCCTGTTCCAGAGCAGAACCCAGGTATTTCCATTGGCTTTCCAGCACAGGCCTTGGAGATGGTTGGAGAGAAGCAAGCAGCTTTGTTCTTCCAGAGGCAGGGATCCCAACCGGCTCCTTCGCTCAGGGCTCTCCCATCATGGGGTGCAGCCAAGCTTCCCAAGAAGAGAAAGATCCAAAGATGCTGACAACTTGTTCAAGCCTCCCAAGCCTTGTGGTGGAACGGGATTATTCCACCCAGGCTTGGGAGGGAGCAGGGTCCTCATAGGAATGCTTAAAAGCCTCAGGATCCAAATGCTCTGGCTTGCGCCCTGTGAGCAGGAGCTGGTGTGTTCCTGGTTGCTGTTGCCATTGTGTGTGGGGTGCAGTTTGCTGATGAGCCTGAAGGGATGGAGAAGCCTGAGGAAGTGAGGGAAAAATCCTGCTTTGGGGCATTTTACAGTGCTGTTTTCTGGGATAACGGGGCAGAGCCAGGGAGGGGAAAGCCACTGGAGAAAGAGGTGGCTGGGGAGTAAAGATGAGCTATAGAATAAGTAAATTAAGTAAAACTACATAAACTTCAGTGAGAAGACAATGAAACAAGGTTAAATGAAGATCAAGTACCAGGTATTGAAGTGCCACGATTGGAAGCAAGGGATTTGGTCTTCCCTGGATGAGCCCTCTGTGGTGTGGCTTTGAGCCCCTGCTATGCTCTTGAATGGCCCTGGGGATGCTCAGCCTCCCATCCTTGAGCTGCAGCCACATTTTGGGAATGAGATATTTCCTTTACAGAGCAAATCCAGCACCCAGGACTCAAACCTCAGGGTGGGGATGCTGCAGTGGTGCAGACCCAGGGCAAACCTGCCAGGAAGAGCTCAGGGATAACAATACCAACATTCCTGACCAAAGGAACTCTCTGCTCTCCCTCAGAACTACATTTGCTTGAGTTGTATTTCCAGCTTGGCAAACACTGCATTTCCTGACACAAGTTTCCATGCAGGGAAGGAAGGACACAAACCAAACACAAAAAGCTGAGAGGTTTTGGTTGCTTAAATAGTATCTTCAGTAGGAAGAAACCAGTGCTCCTTGCTTTGAAGGGAGGGAGAGGGAAGGATGGGAAGAGGGAGAGAAGTGGGAAAGCAGAGGTTGTTGGAGTGTTGGTGGGGTGATGTTGGCTTTGTTTCACTGTGAAGGGCAGGAGCTGGTGGTGGACATGTGTTAATTCTGGGCTCCAGGAGCACATTCCTTGTGCCATACAAAACCACATGGATGTTCTATGTCTTCCAAGCCAGGTTGGACACAGGGGCTTGGAGCAAGCTGCTCCAGTGGAAGGTGTCCCTGCCTATTGCAGGGGTTGGAGCTGGATGAGCTTTAAGGTCCCTTCTAACCCAAACCATTCCATGATTCCCTGTGATTTTTCCTCGTGGGCTTGTGCAGCTGCATCCCTGATGTCCATGAACTGAGGGTGCAGGATGCTCTGACTTTGGGGTGGCAGGAATGTGCTGCTCTGGATGCGTATGGTACCCTGGTACCCTCCAAGCGCATCCTCATGGCCCCACCATCCCTTGCAGCAGCTTTAGAGATAGGGGAGCTGCAGCCTCAGCGCAGGGGGTGCCTGCCCTCTGTCCCATCCAGCCCCCCAGATCCATCGGGAACGCCACCAGGCCGGAGCATGTAAACCTGACAAGATTTTATCTGTACAGAGACGCTTGTCCCCCCCCCCTCCCCGTACCCCAATAAAAGCCAACAAAAAAGCGCATTTCAAATAAAAAGTAAAAAAAACCAACCAAAAGAATCCAACACTCGACCTCCCACCCCCCCAACCCCCAACCCAGCCCCCAACTGGGTCTCAGGTGGGAAACGGGGACGTGCTGCGTCCCCACGTGTGGTGGAGATGGGATAAAGTGACCTCTTCCAAACAGGATGCGGAGGGAGCCGGGCCCTGGGTGCGCTCCAGCCAGGGATGGGGCAGGGGTTCAGTAGTACAGATGCCACCAGCCCTGGGGACCAGTCCTGGAGGATGGCCCAGACACCGGGGTGATGGTTCCTAGGTAAAAAGCTAAAAACTCAGGAGGGGGCCAGCAGGGACAAGGCACTGAGACCCCCCCCGTTTTGGCTACTGTGTCCCCACCGGCATCCCCGTGGCCATCGGGAGCCCTTTTAGGACTCCGAGGAGGAGTGGGAGACGCTCTGGAGCAGCGATTTGTATATGGCAGAGTTCAGGAAGCGAGGGTAGGAGTCTCTGTGCATGAGCGTGTAGATCTGGAGCTGAGCATCGTCGAAGGTGTGCGAGGACGGCTCCTGCATCTTCCGGTTGATCACCTCCCGCACCCGCGAGTCCAGGCTCACCTGCGCAGAAATGGGGTAAGGGACAGGGTCAGCCTGGGGAAGGCTCCTGAAGGGGAGACCTGAGAGCAGCTCCAGTGCCTAAAGGGGCTGCAGGAAACCTGGAGAGGGGCTTGGGACAAGGGATGTAGGGACAGGGCAAGGGGAATGGCTTGAACCTGCCCGAGGGGAGACTGAGCTGAGCTCTTAGGCAGAAGCTCTTCCCTGTGAGGGTGCTGAGGCGCTGGCACAGGGTGCCCAGAGAAGCTGTGGCTGCCCCATCCCTGGCAGTGCTCAAGGCCAGGTTGGACACAGGGGCTTGGAGCAAGCTGCTCCAGTGGAAGGGGTCCCTGCCCGTGGCAGGGGTTGGAGCTGGAGGAGCTTTAAGGTCCCTTCCAACCCAAACCATTCCAGGATTCTATGCCATTGGGTATCAGTGCAGCACGGTGGGCAGACATGGAAGACCACAGTGTGCTCCAGGCTATCTGCACCATAGCCAGGGTGTTTTGGGGCGAGCTGCAGGGAGCTCACAGTGTCCTCCCCTTGCTGGGCACAAGGACGGGGTTCAGGCTGCTCCCACCCAGGGATGCTCAGAGCTGGGATGCGGCATCTCCTCGGCCCGCTGGTGCCCTCGTGAGGTTTCAGCCCCGCAGCACAACCAGGCCCTTGGGTCCCAAAGCCGGCAGCATCCCGGAGGGGGATGCTCTTACCCCCATCCATACACAAGCACGAAGCAAACCACCCCATCCCCAAATTGCTTCCGGGCTGGACCAGAGCTCTCTCCCAGTGCCGTGGTTGGCCTAGGGTAACGATTGGGCTCGATGATGTTAATGGGCTTTTCCAACCTGGTCCAGCCTACGGCTCTTTAAGGACCACCCCTCCCAGGCCTGTTTGAGCCCTGCCCCGTACCTCCTTGGGCGAGAGGATGGAGATGTAGTCCTCGTAGATGATCCGCGCCTTCTCGTCGATGGTGTGCTTGTTGCACTCGGCCTTGAGCTCCTCGCACGCCAGCCAGAAGAGCATGTTCTCCTCGCTGTACTCAGTCCGCAAGAACTCCCGGAACACGTTGCGGCCCGCAGGGCTCTTCATCAGCTTCTCAAAGGACTGTGCCCAGCCCCGCACCTCCTCCGGCGTGGGCTTGGCGCTGCCGGGTCCCCCCGGAGAGGGCAAAGGGACACGGTTATGGCCACAGCGTTCCCCCCTGAGCATCCGCGGTGCCAGCCCTGAACCCCGGTGCCCATCCTGCATGGGGCTGATCCCACCCCTCTGCTCTGCTCTGCATGAGACCCCCGCTGGCAGCACTGGGGGCAGTGCTGGTGTCCCCAGCAAAAGGACATGGAGCTGTTGGAGCAAGTGCAGAGGAGGCCACAAGGATGAGCAAGGGCTGGAGCAGCTCCCATATGGAGCCAGGCTGAGAACATTGGGGCTGTTCAGCCTGGAGAGGAGAAGCTGCGTGGAGACCTCATTGCAGCTTCCAGTGTCTGTATCCACATCAGTACCTATCCAGTATCCACCTACAGGAATGCTGGGGAAGGGCTCTACATCAGGGACTGTAGCGATGGGATAAGGGGTGATGGGTTCAAAGAGGGGGTGTTCAGGGTTACATATAAGGAAGTTTACTGTGAGGGTGCTGGATGAGCTTTAAGGTCACTGAGTTAAGAGGCTGCTCTTGGTATCTATCAGCTGAATATCTGGTGCTGGCTTTGCACAGAGCCAAGAACAAGGAGCAAAAGCCCTTCCCAGGCAGGGATGGGCTGAGATCAGCCCAGCACCCCTCCCAGCTGGGAAGGAGGGAGCAGACGCTCATTACCTGCTCATTAGCAGGAGCAATCACTGTCAGTGTTAATGAGCAGGGCTGACCCTGTGTGTGAGGGTGCCCCAGGGGCTGGGTGCTGGGTGCTGGGTGCTGGGTGCAGTAACTACACCGCGTCCTGTGGTACAGCATCCGCTTCTGCAGCGCTGATCCCAAAGGAACAGCCCATCCCCTCCTATCCCTCTGGATATAAGGTGCTCCCAGCACTGGGTTTAAAGGGCAGGATGAGGCCTGAAAGCTCCCGAGGTTCTTGTGTGCCTCAGTTTCCCTGTGCAAGACGCCCAAGGGCCACTATTACAAGAGGGCTGCATCCAGTGGCCCCAGGCTCCCATTTCCTGCTGGGAACCAGGGACACAGCATCAGGAACCCCTGAATCCCAGTGCCTTGATCCTGCTCCTCGTGTGCGCCCCAGCAGGCAGGATACGGACGTGGGTGCCGTGGATGGAGGCAATGGGGACCATGCTGTGCACCCAACCCTGCGGCACTCACCAGGCTTCACAGTTTGGGATGGTCTCCAGTTTGGTCTCCCGGGACGCCCTCCACGCTCGCTCCCGGTCCTCGTTCCTAACAGGGGACATGGCAAGGTAGTGAGGGGCGCTGGGGGTGCACCGTGCCCCACATCCCTCACCCCGGCACAGCCAACTTCCACGTTCAGTGCCCAGGCTGACCGCAGTGCTTCCTGCTTGCGCCAGCACGGCTCCTGCTGGCACACAGTGGCTGTGATGGGCAAGACCTCCCTGCTGGCAGCAGCCCTGCCCCTCGGGTTGGCACTGGTCGCTGTTTGCTCCATGAGGAGGGATTTGTCCCAGCCCTGCTCACAGGCTCCGGGCACAGATGCAGGAAGGACCCAGGGAAGGGTGACCCTGCTCACAGCAGCATCCTGGAAGGAGAGGTTAGGGGCAGGATGCCCTCGCTGCTAAGTGCAAGGTAATGAGATGGGATCGGGTGAGATGAGGCCCCAAGGACCCAGCAGGGGTTTGAATGGGGCTGACACATCACTGCTGGGTTTGCACAAGGCTCAGCTTCACATCAGTGCTGTCGGTGGCTCTAAAGCCCAAAGCCATGGGCAATGGGAGCAGGGAGATGCTGAGGATGGAGGGAGCGGATGGGCTCTCCAAAATGTGGGCTATCCAGAGAATAAGGAGCTGGGGATCCTCAGAGAGGATGGGAGATGCAGGTGAGTGCTGGTTACATCCTTGGCTTTGGGCTCTGCTCCTGATGCTCCAAGGCAGAGCTGCCTGGGAGGGCTCCAATGGACATGGACCATCCACTTTGGGCAGAGCACTGCAGCCATGAGAAGGCAGCTCAGTGCTGGGCATGGACATGAAGCCCTCTTCCTGCTCTTCCCTGCTTGAAACAGGCAGCAAACCCCTCCTGCCCTCACAGTGCTCAGCCCAGCTCAACCTGAACCCACCAAGGAGAGCATCACAACCCCAGCACCACTGTGCCCAGAACACCTTCACACCCTTCCTGACCATTCTGCTCTCAGCTCCCAACCCATCATGAGCACGCAGCATCCCGGAGGCCCGGCTCCATCGCAGCTGCCTGTGGCGTGGGTACCACAAACCGCACTCAAGGGCCACGTTGCACCCGGGAGTCAGGGATGCTGTGGGACCAACGCTCCCTCAAACCCAGGCGCCTGCTGGGGCAGCAGCCACATCCAAGCGCTCGGTGCTGCACAAAGGATGGAGGACGAGCAGCACACGGGTGCATCCCATTGCTCACGCCCCCTTGGACCCCATGCGCGTTCCATACCCCACGTACCATGAGCAGCTGCAGCAGCAGCACCAGCAGAAGCAGCAGGCGTTGGGGCGGTGGTTGCTGGCGGGTTGCACCGTTGTCGGAGAAGCCTCATGCCGGGACATCGGAAGGGGTGGCTCTGCGGACGCGGGTCCTGCGTACTGGAACGGGCACACGGTGAGTGAGCACAGGGGCCCCCCACCACATGCAAGCAATGGGGACCCCCACTCAGTGAGTGACTTGCTGTGATTTCCTTCCACCTCCCGCTCTGGCCGGCCCCGGGGCCGTCTCCTCCTCACCTGCGTCCCAGCCTCATACACGGTGATGTTGGACGGGCTTGGGTTGTGCTCCAGGGGCTCTTCTGCTGCTCTGGGCTCGTCCCAACCCGTGGGTGAGCCCCCGGTTAAAGTCCCTGCGGCCTCCTGGATGGAGCCTGTGGGGAGGGAGAGGAGCAGCACCGTTACCATCCCCAATGGAGCCCTGCTGTGAAGGGGCTGCTGCGGGCAGCGAGCAAAGGCACAGCGCAAGAAAAGGAAGTGAAAAGCACAGGAGGAGGGGGGCCGTGGTGGTGGATGCTTCACCAGCCCCATCCTTCACCCCGGACCCCGACCACGCTTTGGTGTTGCTGCTGAGCCCCGCAGTGGGGCCGGGCAGGGTGTGGGGCTCAGCCACCGGCCTAATGCCCCCAGCCATGGGCAAGCACCAATGGACCCCCCCAGGGCCTTCGTGTGCAGGATGGGGAAGTCGGAGCGGCTCCACAGCATCATGTGAGTGGAAGGAAACGGGGGGTGAAGTCTTCACAGCGCCCAGCACCAAACCAGAACTCGCTCTGTGCCAGCTCCAGTGCTCTGCACCCCTGCTGGATGCTCCCACTGCACCCACAGGCTGCCTGTTCCTGCCGGCACCACTGGTCCAGCCTGGAACGGGGATGCTCCTGGGGTGCTGGGTACCAGGGCTCAGCACCCACCTAGGGATGGGGAGGATGTGGTCACATCCAGCTCTGCATCCTGGGCAGCAATCACAGCCAGAAGGAAGGAGCCGGAGCAGGGGGCAGTCCCATGTGCCTCAGCCCCAGCATCCCTGTGTCGAGCTGCCCCAGGTCCCTCACCTCGGGTCTGAGCCCTGCAAGGGGGATGGAGCCAGGATGCAGGTCCCAGGTGGGGACAGGGCTGTCCCCTGAGCCCAGGGTGCCTTGTCCCTGGGTTTGCCTTCCATGAGCTCCTGCCCTGGGCCCTGCCAACGCTCCCGCTGGCTCCCATCGCTCCTGCAGGGACCAAAAAGGAGCGAGTCCACGTTTCACTCCCAATTGTCCCTATTTATAGCCCTGGGTGCTGGCAGCGTGGCCGTGACCTTGTCACCGGCTCAGCAGTGCCTCTGCTCCTGTCCCCCCGTGCTGCCCTCGGCTCCATCTGACCCCAGCACTAATTACAGGCACCGGTGATGAGGCTGCGGGAATGGGGCGAGCAGGAGGGAATCCTAAGGCTGGGAAAACCATGCTTCCCCCCAGCCCATCCCGAAGCACGCGGATGGCGGGGGCCAGAGGGACACATATGGGGACAGCACATGGGGACCCACAACCCAAACCAGCCCAGAGAGGCATCAGGATGGAGCAGCATCCCCCAAGCAAGGGGCATCCCCATCCCATGCATGTGGGGTGCACTCAGCACCCAGCCAGGAGGCAGGACCAGCTCCAGATTGGTTCCAAAGGGCAATGCCAGCACGCTGTGGACCCCCAGGGTTGGTTTTGCACCCCACAACAGAGCGGGGGCCGCAGGGGTGTTGCAGGGGCAGCGGATAAGGAAGTCCCATCGGGCAGCAGAGGGGAGGCGGAAGCGCACACGTGAGGCTGTGAAATGAGGAAGGGTGACGGAAAGGGGACGTTTCCTCGCCCCAAAAGCCTCCTGAACCCGAGCCCTGTGTGAGCCGTTGCCATCACTGCCTGGTGCCGGGGGCCGCAGTGGGAGTCCCCATGCGCTGGTGTCCAGCTCATGCGCTCAGTGATGTCCTCACCGAGCACGGCACAACCTCATCCTCTCCTCATACAAAGAGGGGACCCCCACGCAACCGCGCTCCCCAAAACCGCTTTCAGAGGGAACCCTTCCATTGGGCTGCCCCCATAATCACCCTGTGCCCTGTTCACATTGGGCAAAGCAGGGTCCACCATCACCCTGTGCCTGCCACTATGGGAGATGCGGCAGCAGGGTCCCCACACGGACAAAACCAAGGGGATGGCAAGTACCAGCCATGGGGATGACACCCCTCATGCACCCCTTTCCCTGCACACCCCGATGGGGATGATGCTGTGAGCAGCGTGGCGCTCCCCCCTCCCCATCATCCCCAGCACAAAGCAGCACCCACCCGGTGCAGGACACCCCAACACAGCCCTGGGTGCACACGGCTGGAAGGGGGGGGATGCAAGGGGAGATGCCAGCGGCGCATCCATACCTGCACCTCGGCCATGCCGCGGCGGCCGGTGCCAGCCAGGGTGACCCCGGCCGGCTCAGGGCGAGCGCGGCATTGCCTGCTCCGAGGGCAGGGAGCCGGGAGAGAAGAGAGAAAGAGAAAGGCCCCGAGCACATCCTCTCACAGGAAGGGAGTGGTGAGGGAAGTGGCAAACGCAACCCAGAGTTCAGGCCTTTTTTGGGAAAGCCCCGGCTGCAATCCTCACCCCAGCAGGGCACTGCGAGTGCCACCGGCGCCCGAGCCAGGGCATCCTCGTGCTTCCCGTCCCTTGGATCCAGTGGCTTCCACAGGCATGAGGACAACAGAAGCGGTCCCGAGACAGGCCTGGCACTGAGCACGGTGTTGGCTCAGAGATAGACCGGGCACATCAGTGCTGGCACCGACCCCATGGCCAAGGAAGCGAGGAGTGATGGGCAGATACATCCATATGGTGGGCACAGCCTGGTCCCCAGTACCCACTGCTGGTGGATTCCACGCTGTGCCCCAGGCATCCCCAAGGGATGAGGATGGGCAATGAGGGAAGGGGCTGGTACCCAGGGCTGGGCTGAGTCCGAGCCTCACTCGGTGCCTCCCAGCAGCATCACCCCAGTGCCGGGATGTGCCAGCTCCATTGGCCAAGAGTGCCCCACAAACAAACCTGCTTGGGTTTCTGTCCCCTTCAGAAGAAACAGAGAGAGAAATCAAACACCCGACCTCTGCTTCCTTGGTTCAATCTGCCTTCGGCACCACTGCGGGTGGAGGGGTCCAGCCCTGGCGCTACACCAGTGGACCACACTGGGGCATGGTCTCTGCTGGTGGCTGCCTCTCACTCGCACGGGCATCAATGCAGGTGGAAAAGGGGAGGAAAAGGTGGAAAAAGGGAGGAAAGGGGGGAAAAGGGGAGAAAAAAGTGGAAAGGGGAGAAAAAGGGTGAAAGAGGGAGAGAAAGGGAGAAAAGGGGAGAAAAAGAGAGAAAGGGAGAAAAAGGGAGAAAGAGGGAGAAACAGGTGGAAAAGGGGAGAAAAAGGGTGAAAGAGGGAGAGAAAGGGAGAAAAGGGGAGAAAGAGGGAGAAAAAGGGAGAAAGAGGGAGAAAAAGGGTGAAAGAGGGAGAAAAAGGGGAGAAAAAGGGAGAAAGGGAGAAAAAGGGAGAAAAGGGGATAAAAAGTTGGAAAAGGGGATAAAAAGGTGGAAAGGGGGAGAAAAAGGTGGAAAGGGGGAGAAAAAGATGGAAAGGGGGAGAAAAGGGGAGAAAAGGGGAGAAAAAGGTGGAAAAGGGTAGAAAAGGGGGGAAAAGGGGAGAAAAAGGGGGAAAAAGGGAGAAAAAAGTGGAAAGGGGAGAAAAAGGGAGAAAGAGGGAGAAAAAGGGAGAAAAGGGGCAAAAGGGGAGAAACAAGGTGGAAAAGGGGAGAAAAAGGGAGAAAGAGGGAGCAGAGGGGAGGAGGAAGGGGAATGCTGACATCCCCCCGCACGCTCCCCCGGGGCACCCGCTGTGCCATGTGCCCGTTATCAGCCTGGCCCAGCGCCCCGCTTGGCGCAGCCGCTTCCCTGTGGACACGGAGCTGTTATCTCCTCCCTTCCCAACACTGCACATCCCAGCACCCAGGCACCAGCCGGATCCCACTGCGGCCCCGTCCCGATGGGAACGCCCCTGTCACCCAAAGGACAACAGCTTCCTTGCTCATCCTCCACATCCATAGGGAGCGCTCAGCCGGGGGTGATGCACAAACCCCCTGCACATGGGGGAGACCCCAGCCCCTGCTGCTCACCAGCAATGCCTTGATGTGCACAGCACCAGATCCGGATCCAGCCCCTTTCCATACCTTGGAGGAGCTGTAAAGCACCCTGTGGGACCGGCCATGCTGGAGCAGTGCAGCAGAGCTCAGCAGCCCTGCCTGCCTGCACATCGCTGCTGGATCCTCCAGTGTCTCATAAGGGTTCAGCAACCTCCTTGCCTCCTCCTCCCTGCCTTTCTCCCCCTCTGACCAGTGCCAGATTCGGCTGAAACCAACCACTGAGCCCAACCAGACGTGTCAGGGACTGGTGATGCTCTGCTGGGGTTACCCCATGGCAGACACCACCGAGCCCCAACCCACAGCCAGCCCCAGCCACCTGCCTGTGCACAGGAAGCTTTAGGAGCTATATTTAAACCCAGTCTTTCCCCACCTCCTGCCTTTTGCATCCTATTAGAGAAAGATTAAAGAATCGAGTACCCCATGGCTTGGGCTCACCCCGGTGCTATGGGCTCTGGTCCCTCGGTCACATTGGGATGAGGCCGCATCCCTGACACCCATCGAGCATGTGCCACTGATAACACCACCATGCACATGGAGCAGGCGAGCGGGTGCCTCTGCCCTACAGTGATTTGTCTGCTGTGCCCTGGGACTGGAAAGATGGGCCCTGGTGATGGGAACTGGGAGATGCTACAGCATCTCCTTGCTCCTTCACAACAGCCAATAGCCCCATGGGCACCTCTGCCGGTGATGCTCAGGTCTGGACCTCTGAGCGCTGTCCTCTCCTCACCCGGATTCCTCCACTGAGCATCCTCCAAGCCAAATCCCACCAAAAGGACCACAGGAACCTCTCCATCATCTGCTGCAAAGAGGCGAGGGGACCCACAGCTCTGTCCCAGCACAGCCCCAATGGGCACAGCATTGCCAGCACCCACCCTAAGGCCCTGTTTGCACTGAAACAGAGTTAATTATTTCACAGCATAAAAATAGCACGGGCCACAATCAGCTGGGGATTTAACCAGGCAAACCCTGACAATTATGTTTCTATTAGCAGACGTACCGCGGCGTTGTGAAGGCAAACTCCTGGTAAGCATTTGGTAATGATCCATGCGTAAGGAGAAGAAAGATCACGGTAATCAATACCCAGCAGGGGCTAAACCGCATGGATGGAGCCCAGTGATGATGGGAGGGAAGAGGGAAAGGAGGGATACGGCATCGGGGTGGTGAGGGTGAGAGCTGAGCCATGGTGCTGGTGGGGTGCTCTGTGCTCATGGGGTGCTGCCAGACCATGAGTCCCCATCCCAGTGCATGCCAGTACGGGCAGCACTGCATCCCACTGGGGAGCAGCGGGCAAAGGAGGGGGCATTAGTGGTAATTAGGGATGGGGATGACAGGAGGACTGAGGATAAGAAGATGAGGAATTGTCCCTTCCACGGAAACAAGGAACCAGGCAGAGAATCAGCCCGGGATTGGGATGGAAAGGAAGGGGAAAGCGCATCAAAGGGGTCACTTACTGCGGCTCCCAGTGCTCCCCAGTGCAGCCGAGGGGTGATGTCCTCCCCAGCCCCAGCCCGAAACCAAACCCCACCGCCTGCATCCGGAGCCACCGGCCGGGCACAGGGAGCAGGGCTGGGAGCCGGTGGGTCCGGTCATGCCAAGGACAGGTCTGGCCCTGCTCTCAGCCACGCTCCCTGCCCAGGGCACAGCCCCACGCAGCATTGATGTGGTCAGGGCAGGGCTGAGGCAGCAGCAGGTTCAACCAGTGATGGGACCAGACAGGCTTGGGGTTACACCAGCACAAGGGCTGGGGACCAGAGGGGCCACCCCCAAATGGGGACCCTGGGTTTATGCTGTAGGCCCCATTGCCTGCACACTGACAGCACTGATGGATGCGTTTTGAGGTCTGGCTTCAGGCAGATGTGAACACCCATGGATGGGCTGACACCCCAGTGCCACCACAGATCCCTGGACCAGAGCTTGCAGAGCTGAGCTTTCACTTGCACCAGTCAGAAAGCTTCCACATCAGGCTTCTGTCCTGTGTTAGAACACTGAGGGACTGTGGAATGAGTCTGTCCTGCAGGCAAACATCCACAGCAAGGGATCTAACACACTGGAGCATCCCAAGGGATGTGGGTGACCCCTGTGCTGCAGTCACGGCAGCCTCATTGCCACTGCTGCAGCAGTGATGCTCTGCCCTGCCCAAGCCATGACAGGCAATGGGAGCTTTGTGCTGCTTACTTAAACCCCAAGCAAAGGAGAAGGAGGACGATGGGTTCAGCTTGGCCATACTGGGGAGGGAGGAAGGAAGTGCTGTCACCCTGTTGGGGTGGCCCCAGCCCCGGGGCTGCTGCTGCATCCCGCTCCCGATGGACATTGCTCTCAGGCTGGGATGCCACTGGAGCCGTTCCGGGCTCAGATCATGGTACTGGTCCTCACTGGGGATCTCACCCATGTCCAGGCCGTGGCGATGCCCTTTGCCAAGCCCCTGGGATGCTGCAGGGCTCAGCTGTCCCATGGGAGGACACAGGAGCCGGACACTGCTCTCAGTGTCCCCACATCCCCCTTGTGAGGTCTCTTCTCATGGTCAAACCCACACCAGACCCACAGCAGCATCTTCCCTTGGGCTCTGCTGGTTTTCAGGGCTAGGGCTGGAAGCTTTCCCTTCCTTTTCCGGGGTTCCTGCTAATGCCAATCTCTACCTGTTTGCTCTTCTCCTGCCCTTTGCACTGAAACGCTGCTTGGGCATTCGCCTCCTGTCAGAGGAAACTGCTTAAGCCCAGGCTCGGTTCATGCTTGCAGGAGGGGGAGCAATGGGAAAACCCAAATCCTTAACCCCAAACCCCCTTTGCTGGCCCTTTAACCCCCTCTATACCGAACCAGCAGGAACTCCAGCCCTGGGAAGGGGCTGATATCGCACCCTCAGCCTGCATCGAGGGACACTGGGGCTCCGCTCCCCCGGTACCCATCCCACGGCTGCCGTGGAGCCTCCGTGGTGCTCCTGCCTCTGCGATGGGCAAGCACCAACAAGCACATGGCAAAGCTGGGCCCCCAAACCCATTGGATCTTCCCAACCTGAGCACGGAGCCCTCAGAAGTGAACCGAGGCTGTTTCCAAGCGGTTAGAGAACTGGAAGGGCGGCTTCCTGCAGAGCTCCACCATCCATCTTCCTGCTGTCAGGAAAACCCCTTTTCTCCATGGTTAAGGTGAATGAGCTGAATCCCAAAGGATTTTGGTGTTCCCCTGCCTGTTGCTGCCCCAGAATAACAGGCATAAGGAATTCCCCGTGCTCCCAGAGAGCAGCCTTGCAGGAGGGTGAAGATGGATCAGAACTCAGGGGTTGCTGCCTTGTTTTACACCGGCAAGAGCCAGTGTTTTCATTTCACTATAGCTTGACCCCAAAGCCCCCAGTTCTGTGTCCCCTGGTCCCACGG